ATATAAAATTTTAATGTGAGGATAGATTTGAGAGAGAGATTTGAGAGGTTAGAAACAAGCTTAGAATTGTGGGCCAATAATTGCATTGACAAAGAATTCTTAGATTTGGGTTTTCAAAGAATTCAGGAAAAGACTTATAGATAAGAAAATCAAACTAATATGAATATTGACCTAATCAGGGTTCTTCCAGACTATAATTATGGGATGGATTAAATTAGAACAGAGATAATAGAAATCATTTCCATTTATTTTGTTTAGCATCAATCACGCATGTGAAACAAGTCCTTTCTAGTTATTCATGGATTAATTGTTGGTTGCGTCAAAAGTTGGTTTTGTCATGGAATTCATTATATCTTCGGTCGATTACAACAAATTCAAAAGAGATAGTCTTTTTATAAGACTTCTTTTACACAACAAAATGAAAATTACAACTTTTTAGAAACAAACGCAGGATCGTTGTTTGGATCGCTGCTTGCATGGGATCTTTGCCTGTGCCGGGAGCGCTTTGACTCGTGGACCACCAAACCACAGATTCTGATTGAACCGTGAGGGGTTTAATGATTCTTCCTTCGTTTATCGAAGTAAGAATTTGAAGCGAATATCTTATCGATGTAAGATGTTCACTCTTCTAAAGATCAAGTCAGAGCTTAGATCTCTAGGAATCGCCAAAAGCTTCTTGAGGATGTTTGTGAAGAAGGAAGACTCTCTCTTTTGCTCTAATTCATCAAAAGCTTAAGCCTTTTCTGCTCCAAAATGCTCTCCAATCAGCCCTCTTTTGTAACCGCCGTCCCACTACTTAAATACCATCTTTTTATGAGGTTAGTGGGCATGATTTTCGCTTGTAACTGCTTCCCCCACGTTCATAAGTGACCCCCAGCAGTTAATAAGCCATGTGGGCTGCACAAAACTCGAGAAAACTGTCAAAAATGACGTGTTCAACTTCCCAGTGGCCGCGACAGTACGTGGTGTCGCGCATTGCCGTTGCAGTTACCACTGCCGCGCACCTCTCGAGTATTTTGGTTCTAACTTCCTCGTCCGATGTCGGAATGAGATGATCCAAGATGCGTTGGAAAGCTGACGAAGAGATCTACAACTTTTGTCTTCTCAGCCATCAACGGATTTGATATACCTTTACCGATTACCGTTTGAATCGGGCTAGTATGTGAATTATCTAAGTCCGTTTCACATATAACGTTGCGCTAAAAGAATTAAACTCTTTTAGACTTTGAACTACACTGTTGAATATGTAGGCTACATGTGTTAGATGTAGGCTTATCTCTAATAAGGGATAGAGATAACATCCCCCATGTGTGAACAACATGGATTTCAAAGTGTGAATAGGTTGCATTTCCTATATAGGACAACGAACCCAAAATCGGAGAGAACAAGAATTGTATATTCCATTTCTCAATCTCTTGTTTGTTGGTAGAGATAAACCCATAATTGGAGAGGAAGAATTTTATATTCTATCTCCTGGTCTCTTGTTTGTTGGTAGAGATAAACCCAGAATTGGAGAGGAAGAATTTTATATTCTATCTCCTGGTCTCTTGTTTGTTGGTAGAGATGAACCCGAAATCGGAGAGGAAGAATTTTATATTCTATCTCCTGGTCTCTTGTTTGTTGGTAGAGATAAACCCGGAATCGGAGAGGAAGAATTTTATATTCTATCTCCTGGTCTCTTGTTTGTTGGTAGAGATGAACCCGAAATCGGAGAGGAAGAATTTTATATTCTATCTCCTGGTCTCTTGTTTGTTGGTAGAGATGAACCCGATGATGGAGAGGAAGAATTTTATATTCTATCTCCTGGTCTCTTGTTTGTTGGTAGAGATGAACCCGATGATGGAGAGGAAGAATTTTATATTCTATCTCCTGGTCTCTTGTTTGTTGGTAGAGATGAACCCGGAATCGGAGAGGAAGAATTTTATATTCTATCTCCTGGTCTCTTGTTTGTTGGTAGAGATAAACCCAGAATCGGAGAGGGAGAATTTTATATTCTATCTCCTGGTCTCTTGTTTGTTGGTAGAGATGAACCCGAAATCGGAGAGGAAGAATTTTATATTCTATCTCCTGCTCTCTTGTTTGTTGGTAGAGATGAACCCAGAATCGAAGAGGAAGAATTTTATATTCTATCTCCTGGTGCAAAAGAAATTCAAAGTGGGATCTCCACTTAGAAAATCTGGACTGGTTTGAATAATCCTGACTGTCATAAGGTTTGATTATTCAATTCAAAAGTAGACCTCTCGTTCATGAAATGAATCGAAAGGGGATTTTGGTTAAGGTCCTAACTGTAGTAAGGTTTGACCAAGCGGGGGTTTTGAGACGATCCTAACTGTAGGACGGTTTGATCGCTCAATTTGTGGACCTCTCGTTCATGGAACGAATCGAGAGGGGATTTTGGCTTTGGTCCTAACTGTTTAAAGGTTTGACCAAGTGAGGAATAGGAGTAGGGTGCAAATAACAATGAGTTTATTGATTTGCACAAACTACTCGGTGGGAGTTTCGAGGGGATCCTAACTGTAGGAAGGTTTGATCGCTCGATTTATGGACCTCTCGTTCATTGAAGGAATCGAGAGGGGATTTTGGTTTTGGTCCTAACTGTTTAAAGGTTTGACCAAATAGGAATTTGATACGATCCTAACTGTTTAAAGGTTTGATCGCTCAATTTAAGGACCTCTCATTCATGGAACGAATCGAGAGGGGATTTTGGTTTTGGTCCTAACTATTTAAAGGTTTGACCAAATAGGAATTCGAGACGATCCTAACTGTTTAAAGGTTTGATCGTTCAATTTGTGGACCTCTCGTTCATGGAACGAATCGAGAGGGGATTTTGGCTTTGGTCCTAACTGTTTAAAGGTTTGACCAAGATGGGAATTTGAGACGATCCTAACTGTTTAAAGGTTTGATCGTTCAATTTGTGGACCTCTCGTT